TATATGAACCCAATAGTCCAGATTGAATCAGAGCCGATCTGACAATCACGGATATCCGGTAGTGTTTGAATTTTATTTTATTTTCTACAAATCCAAATCACTTGAAATTATACTTGTGTGTTCTTCTCATCAAGACGCATCTAATAAAAATATTAAAAAAATTATTCGTGAAATAAAAAATGACCAAAATACCCCCCAAAACTTTTCGGGGGTATTTTGATCAATTTATTTCATGTAAAATATTTTTTTGATATTTTTCAAAGATTCACCTATTTTTTATGAACACATGAATAAAATTTCAAGTGATTTGGATTTATAGAAAAATAAATAAAATTCAAACACTACTAGACATCCGTGATCGTCAGATCGGAATCTGAGTCGTTGGGCTCATATGTTCATATGAGCTATATAGAGAGAGAGACTGAGAGAGAGAGAGTACCTTGGTGGCAACCATGAATTGATAGATATCATTGAAAGGCTGCTTTTATGTCCTGAAGCCTTAGAGTGACAGCTCTCTTATGGGCCTCAAGGCCTTCAACCTCAGCCATCTTAGCAACATAGGGCCCAAGCTTTCTTAACCCTTCCTCAGTCAAACTCTGCACTGTTATATACTTAAGGAATGAGTCCAGAGAAACGCCACTATACATCCTCGCATACCCATAAGTTGGAAGCACATGGTTTGTTCCGCTCGCATAATCACCAACGCTTTCAGGAGTCCACTGCCCCAAAAATACAGAACCTGCAACATTCCTCACATTATGAACTATACTAAAAGATAGTGAATCTGATTTCAAAATCAAAAACTAATGGAGCAAAGTTGTACTTGGAAGAGATTATTTGACCAGGCAAAAGAGAATCTTATTGCATTCAAAGGAATCACAAGGTTCAACACTCTAGGATTTTGTGCTTATCAGGGACCATTTCAGCATAATCCAATCCAAACCCCAACATGTGTGCCTGAGAATGTGAAAGGCTTAAAGTTTATTTGGGGTTTACAGGAAATGGTTATTGTTAATGAGATCATGATTCATTCCATACCTGCATTCTCGATGAAGGATTCCCACATCTCTGCATTTTGGACATTGATGATGAGATGCTCAGGTGCGTAGAGGTTCGAGAATGTGATAGCCTGAAAATACCAGAATCAGTAAGAGAACTTTCAAGTTTAAACAGACCCTGGAGAAACTCATCATATCCTGGAAGCAGATATAAATGACTGGCACACAATATTGTGATATAGATCAAGGTGCTTTCTTTGGTTTCATGACTCATATCTCCTTTACTCAATTGAGTATCTTAGTCACAATGCCCATATAGGCATAACAGGCGTCTGGAAGAAAGAGTGGGAATGCCGCAACTGCAAGGGCTGAGGCCAAATATAGAACTGGCACGGATGAAAAGAATCGCAATAGCCAAAAATTTGTGAAACTCCCCCTTACTGAAAATGTTCCCATGATGCTGCAAATCGCATGCCTCCATTTTATAAAGATAGAAAATATTTATATGTTTTATATGTTTCGTGCTGCATAATCTTTCTGGGCATCCTTCAAAAACCTGCTTTCTGTTCATTTTCTTCCTCATGCTTTTGCATTTAGAATACCAATACAACAAAAGCTTTTCCATTTGAAACATATGAAACCTGAGAATTAAGGGATGACGGCATTTCGGACCATATCCTAAAACCCGACTCATGGGTGCAGGCATTAGACAGATGCCCATAAGGCAAGTCAAATTTCAGACACAATATCAAAGTATATTAGAAGAAACTGATATTTATGTAGCAAAAAAATTAAAACGACAAAAAAGGGAAAGAAATGTATACCCCCCTCTCTAAAATTAATATCTCAAATAACCCCCTGGTTCCATAAAAAGCCCATAAAACCCCCTGAGTAAAACAAAAAAGGACGTTCGCCCTCCTCACCTTTTTCATTGTCCAAATTATAGAATTTACCATTCTTTTTTTCTAATTAAATTGTGCATGCTGTAAATTTTAAGTGTATATGTGATGCCACATGTACATAACATACACATAAATACTCACATAACATACACATAAATACTCACTTTTGTACTTACTTATTTGAACAAAACAATATTCTTTTCTTGAGAGGGAAAACAGGGGTTGTGTTGCTTACCTAGGGGTTTTGTTGCCTGTCTACAAAAAAGTGAAAAACAAATCTTATCATTATTTTCTTTAGATTCTAATATGCATATCATATTTGACACTCAACCAAAAATATTATGGTCCACATGCGCCCAATGCACACTGAGAAAGATTCACAAAAAGGCTGAAAAACAGGGAATAAAAATGAAAGTGAAAGTTTCCCAGACTACTAACCTCAAGCATATCTCGGGCATAAACAATGAAACTGTGATTCAATGCCTTAGAAGCAAAATCACTACGTGGAAGACTCTTGCATTGCTTGTCAATTTCATTCTCAATTGAATTCAAATCGACACCCTCACCAGCAACCACAAGAACTACTTGACTATCTGGACCATGTTCTGCCTGACATATAAAAGATACAATGTAAGATAAAAGATAATAAATATGAATTGAAAACATGTGATACATCCCTTCTCAATGCACAATTGGCATATGCACATGCATATATAGGAAAATGATCCTATGATCCCAAGGACCGATACTGTAGCATTTGGCCCTCTCCCAAATCCACTATTATTTTATTGAGAAAGAGACCACAAAAGGACCCAAGCAACCACTAGAAAACTCGCCCTCAACTAAAAATTCATTTGGACCAGCAAAAAAGCTCCAAAACCCCCATATCTAGCATCCACAAAAAGGACAATCCCTATTTCAGCCTTCTGGAATTTGACGAGTATTTTTTGAGCTCCATTATCAATTCGCTTTTATTTTTTAGTTTTTCTGGAGCAGAGGAAACTGATTTCAGGCCCTTTGTGGGTCCCACACTCCAAACTGGTGGATTTTGATAAGGGACAATTGCTACAGTACTAGACCTTGGGACATAAAAAAAAATGAAATGAAGAGATGATAAAAACTAGTCCTTATTATATAGAAGAAGAACCCAAACACAGACCTGAGAGAGTAGATCAGCAGCTATATGTACAGGACTAGCATGTTTGTCAGCAATAACCAGGACTTCTGACGGGCCTGCAGGCATGTCAATGGAAACCATGGCTTCACTATTCTGCCAAGAAAGAATCAATCCAGGAAAAGAGATGTCATGTTCAAGCAATGAGGATGCATCCTATATTACTCACTAATAAGGAATGAGAGTGAAATGAATATCTATATATTATTACTCAATTATTAATTCTGAACAAAGGATTTTACAGTGTAACTCAAAAATGTGGTTTGCCCTGACTATTTTAAATATCAAGTTATTGTCATATTTACAGACACATGGGCAGTACATCCACTTACACACCCCAACCTCATCCAGTTCTATGTGATTGAAAATTTACAAGGAGTGCGTGAAACTTTACACACGCATGCATATCTATTTTGTGTTGAAAGAATTGGATTAGAACATATCATAATCACATCAAGTGCAGTTCTCATATATAAGGTTAAATTTATTAAGAAAAATCATTTCATTTGTACATAAAATATTATAACCTATGAGAAACATCACGCTCTTTTTTTCATTGTTTTCTGGTTAGATGACATAATTATAAATGTAAATAACAAGTTTTTTACTAGTAAATAAAAGGTTCCTACATAATAGTTTATTAACAGTTCAAAAAAACAGTTAATACTAAATAATACATAAATAACGACCTTAAATTAGGTACGGGTCCATTAAGTATTAAACTAAAATGGATCGTCGGTCAGATTATTTCAAAAAGCAGTAGAGCAAGACTCTGCAAATGAATCCTTGACTAGATAAACATCGGCCACTATCAAAATAGAAATTCCAAAAGTGAGAATTGGATGTATGAATTACAGCTACCAAAAGCAGTAGACGGCTCAAGGAACATTAGTGAAGATGAAATTCAACTCCGATAACTATTGGCTTTAGAACAGTTTGAACTAAACAAAGGAATGTCCACATGTTGAAATTTCAGACATTACAGAAATAAAAACAAAGTACTCACAATAAGAATAAATCCATCTACCTCTCAATGAAACGCATTACTTTTTTCTTTTAATATATATAGATTTACACACTCGAGTAAAACTCCAATTCTTGGATAGCTCATTTAAATGGATTAAACTCAGCAGGATGGATATTGTATCGTGATTAAAATTGATTGAAAGAAAATGAATGACTAATCAATATTACCACTTGTCATAACATTTCATTGTCATAATATTTCAAATAAGAGAGGAAAAACAAGGATTGAATGTTTAGTAATATTGACACTTATCATAATATTTCCATCAAAACTGACACTTATCAATGGATTTCAAGAAAGTAATACAGGGAAAGAAGAATCAGTATACCTGGAGAATCATTTTTGCAGCTGTAACATACTGGTTTCCCGGGCCAAAAATCTTTTCCACCTGCAGGCAATGATGAAACAAATCAGTCCACATAAGCCGTCATGAGACTCAAATATTGGACATGGAACTAATAAACTTAGGTTCTCATAAAGAGGAAATAAATAGAAACAACAAATGTCAAGAACCCCAGAAAGTGAAGGATTATCTGTAAACATGGTCATCATGTATCCAATGGACAAGGTAATGTCATTGGGTCCATTTTATATCAGCTGAGGAAGTCAGGACTGGCATAAAAAATTAAAGGAAAAACATGCAATAAAAAACCATTCAGTCCCATCCAAGTCAGCAGAAGCCGGGAGCAACAGCAGGGAAGCACTGATTTTATATATTCTGGAGTATCATATATGTGTGAGTTGTGTGTGAGCAATACAAAGATGCATGCCCATCATGTCCATGCGCAGCAACACCGTCCACCATACATGATAAACACTTAACCTAGTTAAAGGCTTTAAGCTCTGGCTGATTGTCAGACACTTGTGGACCACTGATGTTGTGAAACTGATGTGCGCACTCTCTCTCTCTCTCTCTCTCTCTCTCTCTACTAACTAAACTAAAAACTAAAACTAAACTAACTAACTACTACTAC